TTGCCTTCCCGATCAGTCGAAGCTCCAAGAATCCGAATAACTAGCAGTGACTCACGTTGACGGTAAGCTGAAGACTGTCAGATTGCAGGGACGTCACAACAAGTGAAGGGAGGCGGACTAGCTATCGTTGTGTGCTCATCACCGCTGACGGAACAGGAACGACCATTCGAGTGATGCTGGTTGCTGTCAGTGAAATAAAGGATTTCTAGGCCGATGTTCGCCGATGGGTGGTGAGAAATCGAGACAGTTGCCACTCGCGGTTGTTTCCGGTGGCGAATGAAACCCCCCAGCTCCATCTGTCGCAGCTGGCTCACTCCTGTTTGCTCCGGTCAACGTCGCCACCCCAAAGGGGCTATTGTGTTCGCTATCTCGATGTTGTCATTTGTTCCTTCTTCCACTGCCACTAGCCACCATTAGAGGTGGATGTGGGTGTAGTTTTGGGTGTGTATTCATGTGTTATAACATTTCCGACAGTTATGAGATTGTATATGCGTTTTGTTTAACCGGCAGTTATGAGATTGTGTGTGTGCGTGATTAGTTTAGTGTGTGTGTTTGGTTAATTGAGATTATCCTTGTAAAATGTAACTTGAATTTTAGATTAATGAAAAGAATCAAAACCACCACCGTAAGGTGGTGGCCGTCGCCGTAAGCCGCCACAGACCACCACTACCCGAGGTGGTAGTGGGTGGTGCCCCGCTAGCAAACCCTAAAGGACCTAGCCAAAACCCTAATGGGCTTATGGATTAGTTTTGGTCCTATTGGGCCATCTTTGGGTAGAAAAATGTAATTATGAGTATTTGCGCCTTGGACTTATTTGGACCCACTTTTGGTCCATTGGGATTGGATTGTGAATCAAGCCCAAACTTCCATGCCATTTATCTAGTAGAATAAAGACTTAATGGACTAAGTCCCTAATGGGCTAGTTGAGAAAATACTAATATTTGAGAAATTATCATGACACACACACACAGAAATTATTTAATAAGTTAAATATTAAATAATAATCATTGGCAGAATTTAATCTAAGCAATAATGGACTTAATGGATTAAGTCCTTAGTGGGTTAAGCCCTTAATTGGTTAAGTGAGAAACACTTAACCCTAATTATTATTTATGAGAAACCCTAATTTCACATGGGCTTTGTGTTGCCATCCAAGAATAATTAAACGGACTAGAGTAAGTAGTTGGGCTCTAGGGTAAGGCCCATATGAAGGATTAGGCCCAATTTGGAAAATTGGGCCATAGATGGGCCATAGTTTGGGCCTAGATGGTTGTACGATATTGGGCCCTTAGAATGAGACATGTTGGACCGGACTGAGCAATTGGGCCTTCAGGGAAGTCCATGTGGAGGTTTGCGCCCAATTTGGAAAATTGGTCCATATGTTGTGCTTTGATCCCTAGTTGACTTTGGGCCTGTGGATTGGACCTTAGGCTTGGGTAAGCCAAGCTTGGGGTAATGTAGTAATTATCTAAAGTATGTAATTATAGATATGTAGTGGAACCCAATTATTAATAGGGTGTTATTTTGATGTTGACAGATTGGGAATCTATCATCTAGCAGTTGGGGTCGAGTATGCGGGACTTCAGTAGTGTGGGATTGAGTCTGCAGGACTTCAGCAGTGTAAGGTGAGTTTCCTTCCAGTAGGAACGGGTCTAAGGCCACAATGTCGGCCCGTTTAACTAGCAGTAGTTTCCGGACTTCGGTCCGATGCAGTAGTTAGGATGTTTGATGCCTTCTTGGCTTAGACAGGTTTTATGTGTTATGTGTTCCGGGCTACAGCCTGATGTAGTATGCAATTTATGTGTTCATGCTAGTTGATATGTTTATGCTATGCTATGTTATGCTCAGTCAGTTTCCGGGCTTCAGTCCGATGCAGTTAGTTCCGGACTTCGGTCCGATGCAGAGGACAAAGTCCCAGTCAGTTCCAGACTTTGGTCTGATGCAGATTCCGGACTTCTGTCCGATGTAGAGGGCAAGGCCCTAGTTAGTTCCGGACTTCGGTCTGATGCGGTGGGCAAGGCGCAGTATGTGTTTATATGTCATTGTATGGTATGTGGTAGTTTGGGGGAGCTCACTAAGCTTTGTGCTTACAGTTTCAGTTTTGGTTTTAGGTACTTCCGCAAGTAAAGGGAAGAGCTCGGGATGATGGCATCGCACACACCACAGCTTCAGCTTTATTCCTGGGAGTTTTTTTTTTCAGATACTTAGTTATGATTTGATACAGTTTTTAGTACGACACTTTTATTATGGATTTTGAGATACCTGACATATGGTTTTTATTATATGACATTTAGTGTTATGACTTTTATTATTATTTAAAAACACAATTTTTGGGTAATAGTTTTTGGATGTTTCAAGTTGGTATCAGAGCCTTGGTTTGAGGGATTCGGGCACACTTCCGGGTGTGTCTGAACTCAAACTAAGGAAGTGGTAAAATGTTTTTCAAAAGAAAAGAGTT